TGGCTTGTTCCCATGTGTATATGCTTCTTGAGTCTTCTATCCATTTGTCTTCTATCCTTTCTTTATCTATTCCTGGCTGAGGGCAGGCTCTCAGTTGGAGGTTGGAGCATGGCACCTCTGGCCAGGTGCAGGGACCCAGGGAAAGGCACATGCACAGCAGCTGCAAGACCCTGTGCAAGCCTCTGTATCTGTGCCTGTTTCTGAAGGTCTATGAGGAAGAAACTTTTGTGGATCACCCACATCTCTTCAATGTCACAGGCATTTGTATCCCACAGGGTCCCATTCCATTGCTCTGGACACTTGCATCTTGACAAAAGTCCAGGCCCAAGCAGCTGCATTCAGTGGAGGTGGGCCCATGACTCATTGAGAAACCTTTGCTCCTGGCAAGTCTTTCATTGGTTTTGTTGACTTCCTCAGGCAACTTTGACTTCACAGTTTATTTTGTTGCTGTCAGAATCATTCATTTGCATTTTCCTTCCCACTGTGGAGATATATATATAAATATGTCCTTTTATTGCCTCTTACACATAAACATATTAGGGTACTTCTTGCAAAGGGACTTTATGTGTTTATATATCAAGGTCATTGTGGTGCAAGTGGTTACTTGAGTGCACCATGTCCATGGCTGCTGCTTTATTTATATTCAGAGCTACATTGCTGCATCTGCAGAAGGGTGAGGAGCTCAGGCTTCTTCTGCCACTAGAACTTGTGAAATAATCAACAGAGCAAGAGTTGCTCATGACAGCCCATGAGGAAATTGAAACCCTGTGGAAATTTATTAGAGGCTATGTAATGATGTGACCAAACTGCAGACAGCTGCAATGGTCTGGCTGAAGAGCAAAGTATTTTTACTCCATGGCATATGCAAGGTACTGTGGGACAGCTTAGCCACTCCTGCTCCCTTGGAGTGGAGTGGGCTTCCCTTGGGAGTGGAGTGGGCTCCCTCCTGCCACCAGCATGCATCACACTAAGGGGCTCAACCTTCTTGAGGCACAGCAGTGACATTCCTCACTCAGAGACCACAGACTTCAGCTCCTGTTTGGCTGTGTAGAGAGACCACCACCATGCCAAAAAATCTCTGTGCACCTTTTAAATCCCTCCTCAATTGATGTTGCTTCGTGCCAAGGTTGCTTTTATAGCACATGGAATCCAACTGCATCATTCCACATCTCACAGAAGGAACATTACCCCAAGGACTAGATATTTTGTTTCTTAGCAGTTCTATTTGCCTCCTGGTTTGTGACATGAGTTATTGCTAGATACTTAATTTTAAGTGGAAGCTGAGATAAAGATTCAGTTCCTGGGACTGTATTTAAGAAGAATCCCAAATATCATAAGATTTTTGGTGAGCTAGCAACACTGGGAACAAAATCATCTTTCTGATAGGATATAATATGGATGTAAAGCACAGAAATGCTGGGGTGCTTCAATGTATTACTTCTGACTTGTTTTACAAAATATAATATTTTAATTAGTGCATACATTTCAGAGTTGCTGGTGTAAAGATCAGGGCCTCCCTCACTTTGCTATCATAGGTGGGGCTATCATACTGCATAAGTCACATCATCTGCCTAATGTTGTGATGCCAGGTTTTGATGTTTTGATAGAAGGCCTTGTACACAGAGATGGAGACTTGAGTGGGAAAGACAGAAGCCTGGTCACCCTGGCGTGCTTACTGTTGAGGCTTGCTGCCTGCAGAGTGTCTGGGGACCACTGCCCAACAGAGTCCTGCTGGACAGTGGCACCAGGGAGACAATGGGCTTGTAAAACCACATCATTGGATGCACACACATGTTGACAAAGTGTTCTTTTCCATTTTTCCTACACACTTCCTCTACACTGCTAAAAACTGAATAATATTTTGGTTGAGGAGATTGCTGTAGCTGGGAGTTGCCAGAAGAACCAGAGGTGTGAAAACCTGGTCAAGTCTGCTGTGCAAACCATGGTTCATTAGCAGAGAGGATGCTGAAACTCTGTGCCCATCCTTTTGCTGGGGCAATTGCATGGAAAAGCCCAAGAAGAGGTAAAAGCAGGGAATCTGGCACTGCCTGTGTGTTTTTGTGGCTGGGCTGCTGGAAAGCACAGGGGTGCAGACCCATGATAGCTGTGTAAGAGCACTGTGGCCCCAGTGATGTGCAGACTCCTGAGACCAGCTGGGATAAATTAGTGATGTTAATGACTGAACAGGAAAATCTTGCTGGGAAACACATCCTTATCCTTATTATGTAGTGTCTGAGGGCTTGTAGAATCCCAGCTGAATCTGCTGTGTCAGAGCAGAAGATTGCTATCTGTATGATGCCTTACATATTATAATGACCAGTTAGTATTTCATTACATCAGGGCTGCTTGGGTCTGGGGTGGAGGCATGGGGATGTTTACTGTGCTGGCAGCACTGAGACCAGGCTCACTCTGTTACAGGGCTGCAGGGCACAGTGTAGCTCCCCAGGCCAGGGCTGCTGGGCACAGCCAGAGCAGCACAGTACTGCCAGGGGGGAACAGCTGAGAGCCTGCAGCCCTTGGGAATTACAGATAGAGTTCATGTTTAGCATCACTGTTTTCATGTAGCCATAAAAAGAAATGTTTGTAGCATTTTAGGGTCTGAGCAGGAATACTGGCTCCATTGAAATCAGCAGCACAACTCCCCCTGAATTCCACACAGACAAGATTTAACTCTGTCAGTGCAGAGGCACTCAGGGTTATTGATTTCCTTGCTATGATTGTCTTTGCTAGAACCACAAACATCAGTCACATGCATTAAACAGGGATAGATAAACAAGGAAAACTGAAAACATGAGAGGAAGGTCTGCAACTCCATCTAGCATAAATTGTTCTCATCTGAATTAGGACAAACAAAGAATTCTCTGAGATGCAATTTATGTAATATCAAGAAACCCAAAATGCTCGTTTTTACTGAAAGTTCTTGACCCAGCATTTTCTGTCATGTCCACTAAAAGGAAATCAATGTCTTCAGATTGGATTTTTCCCAAGGAATTTTCTTTCCATATCTGAAAGCATCTTGTGTTCACAAAACCACTAGCAAGTAAATGTGATCAGAATGGCATTGATCTAAATTTGGGTAAATAACAAGCCTTGGGTTGAGGTGCAAGACTTGTTGTATTTGGGGTTCACTTGTGTTTCTATTGATATCTGGTTTATATTTTTATTTTAGGAAAGAAGAAAAAACTCAGTATATCTCTGAAAGAGAGGGCAGAAAAGACCTCTTTTGAAGTGTGTTACTGTTTATTAATACCTCTTATTGGATTCAACACTTCTGCACAAGGAGCATGCTCACCAGCCTTGCCCTCTGACCACCTCTCCCAGTTAACCTTCTCCTTTATCTGTGTCTTTCTGGCAGAAGATGCTCAGACACCTTTGGGAGGGAGGGAGTGTTTGCAGGAGGGCAGTGCAGAACTGCAGCTATGATGTGTTTGCCAGCGTGCAAGGCCCAGCTCCAGCACGGCCCAGCCCCGCTGTCACCAGCATGCTGGTGGCAACTGTGCTTGGCAGGCTGGCAGGGCACACAAAAGCGTGCTGCCGCCATCCAGCTCCAAAACAAAGCTAAATCTCCTTCCAGGCTGACACAAAGCTTCCTCTGGCTGGGTTCAGGCAGCCCTGGAGAAAAGCCAGGTCCCAGCCAGGAGCAGTGCCAGCAGTGGTGGGGCTGATGGAGGCAGCAGCTGGTAGGCAAAGCCTGCGGGCAGGCCAGCTGGCAGCACTGTGGTCATTTTTTCCAGGATCTGTGGATCCTGGTCAAATAAAAGGGAAGCCTTCATCAGCTAAAGCATATCAGCTGCTTTCTATGGAAGGAGTGGATTTAGGGGCAGGAGGCTGTGATCCCAGATAGTAACAGCAGCAAGTTGGTGCCTTGCCTCTCACTGGGCAGGAAAAAATGGTCACCTCCTTGCCACCTGCAAGAGGCTGGCCAGCATTTTGGGTGGCATGAATGGTTTCAGTGGGGCAGTACTGTAGTTTGAGGAGGTTTTAACTCACTGCTGGGAGTAGTACATTAGCTGCATCACACCCTCAAGCACTCAAGTGATTTGATCAAATGTTGTTTATAATTATTGTAGTTCATCAAGCTGTCGGTGACTGTTCAGTGAAAAACTACTTAGCTATTCTGAAAGTGTCACTGTAAATTGAATGTACCAATAGCTAATATATGTCAGAAATATGTTGTTTAATATCTGTGATAGTCATATAAAGTATATGCTTTTTCTGATTCTTCACTGTATGCAGCTAGACCAAAAACTTTAAAATAAGCCTTTTCAAGAAAATTGGTTGTTTTTATCTAGTGCTCTCAATATTCAGCTTGAGCCAATATTTACCTATTCAGTCAGACTGAAGTTAAAATAAAGAATGAATGATAAGTATTTGTTTAAACTTTGGAAGCCCCCCTCTTTCCTTTCTTTCTTATCTTGGTTTTCTTGATTATCAGCTTGCTGTCACTAATTGCCACACCTAATCACTTTTCCACTAGGAAGCAGCCTGGAACTGATAGGAACCAAATATTTGGAAATATGAGCTATATTGGTTAAAAAATACACCCATTCTGGGAGAGGGGATGTTAATGAAGAGTTCCTCACATGCACATCACCCACCAAGGTGCTGGTCCCTGTGCTGGGCCATGCCACGAGGCCAGGGCACCCACCTCTGATTTGAGTTAATGGCAAAATGTCACTTGACACCCATAAGGTCCTTATTCTTGTGGAGAGGAATGTAAGGGATCATGGGGGGTCACCCTGTGTGCACTGATTTGGAGGTGGATTTGCTGCTCCCACTCCTTATAGAGAGGGAAGAACATCATGAGAGCCTGGTGCACACTCCCAGAGGATGCTGTTTTTGCCATTTGACCCCACGGCCCACCCTGGGGCTGGCTGACATCCTTCTTTCTGCTTCACCCACCGTGTTTCTCTGCCAGGTGATCTTCCCAGCCCTGTCACTGCTGTGTTTCTCTGCCAGGTGATCTTCCCAGCCCTGTCACCGCTGTGTTTCTCTGCCAGGTGATCTTCCGAGCGCTGTCGCCGCCCTACGCCGCGGAGGACCCGTACAGCGCGGAGGCCCAGGCGCAGCTGAAGATCACCAACCTGCGGGTGCGGCTGCTGCAGCGGCAGGGCTGTCCCTGCCTGGCGGCCAGCCCAGCCCTGCAGCCCCCGCCAGCCCTGCACTACGCCATCTACGACTTCATCGTCAAGGGCAGCTGCTTCTGCAATGGCCACGCTGACCACTGCATCCCTGTCGCTGGATTCAGGCCCAGCAAGGCGGCTGGCGTTTTCCATGTGGTAAGTACATGCATGTCTCACAATACAAAACACTGCAGGAAAGCAGAATTTTGAAAATAGTAAGGGACTATATAGAGTATGGTGTAGGTCCAAGGACGCAATCAATATTTGACATTTGATGCCCTGAGCTCCAAGCACAGTGAGCAGAAATGGTCTTTACAAAGGGGGTGGTCTCCATGTGGGGCTGAAGTGCTGAACTTCCTTTGTGTCTTGGTGTAGGACTCTCATCCTTTTCAAAGGTGCTCCACAGTAGTTTATTTATTTCAGGTAAATCTTTAAGAATAATTAAATTGCTGACATCCATCTTTCCCCAAATGCTGACTTGCAATAACACAATATCTAAAGGATAAAAAAATGCAGGGCATTTTGGTAACAATGAAGGAGGAGAGCTTCCCTGAAGATACGAGGCATCACGTAACTACCATTGCTTCTGGGGGATCCAAGGATATTGGGTGGGGTCTTGAACCAAGGGGATAAAGATGGGTTTTGACTCTCACTCATGGGCTTTCTATTGCACTTTGCAATACCTTTCTCTGGATAAAAACTCTGTGCTCTGGTTTTGAGGGGACTCCCATCACAAGAGCTCTGAGCTCCAATTCCTAAAGACCCACCAAGACCTAGACTTCTGGGAAACAAGAGGCACTAACCCATAGGGCAGGTGACAGGCACAGCAGTGGCCAACACATTGGATGCCTGTGGTATGGCATGCATGTACCCAGCCAGTCCAGGGACACTTGGTGCCACCAGCACATCTTATCCTTTCTGCTCATCCAGGCTGGCTCTGAAAGCTCTGGCTTTGCTGGAGGAAGAGCAGTAGGGAAAGACAGAACAGCCAAACATACTGTACTGAATGTTAGACAGAGAAAGATCACTAAAAAAAAAAGAGGCAGTTAGTCTAGGTAAGGAGTCCAGCTCTTTGGGGAGCTCTCATTTCACTTAATTACAGTCTCAGACATGAAGCAGACAGGATGTTTCCCTTCCACTAGAGCTAGCCTTGCAACATCTTGAAAATATACCAGTTTGAAAGCGTGCAGCTCTGTGATTGATAAGAGTGTTTCAAGTAGCACTGCTCTGCTTTCTGCAGATGTCCCCTGAGTGAAAGTCTTTGAAAGGAGCTGTTTGCTCAGGATTATTTTGGTGGGATACAATTGCATGGGAGCGTGCCCTGGAGCACCACTGAGAGTTGTAACAGAGCCTGCAGCCAAATAGGCCTCCAGTACAGCTACAGGCTGTGGCAACCATAGTGTGCAGGTAACAGGCAGGGCTGGGAGAAGGAAGCAAGTGCCAAAATCACACTGAAAACAGAGCAAGAAATAGCAACAAACCCCTGTGCTGGCCCCGAGGGGGAAATTCAACTCTGGTTATAAATGTTTATGTGGCAGGAGTCCCAAAGGTGACGTTTCTGCAGTGAGGCTGACTCATTTTGCTGTGTCATAATGTGCTTTACTTACCCCCCATCCTGCATGTCCCGTGAGGGCTGTGCCAGTGTAGGGGTGACATAGCCCCATGGTTTGCAGGGAGGGTCAAGGTGTGGTAAGAGCTTTTCTCTCCCAATACCACCTCTTCCATCATAGAGCTGGGGCAGTTTTGGCTGAGCCTAGTCCATGCCTGGCTCCTGTGGCATGAGGCTACTGCTGTTTGGGGACTGCAGTGGCACCCACCTCCTGCAACCCAGCCTGGGGTTTGCCAGTGCATTGCATCAAGATTGGAAGAGAGAACTATTTCCAAGGTGATAGGAAGAATTCATCACACATGTGAATGAACAGAAAAGGGACAAAAGATTGCAATGTCCATGGCTGTTTAGGTGGTAGAAGTGAAAAAACTTCTGAAAAGAGAGTAGGATTTTAGAGAGGGAGCATTTTTATACATTTCAGCTAAAAAACTCACAGAAAACATAAATCTGAAGAATTATGACCAGTCATTCAAGAGGTTGATGGAGATTTCAGTATAGTCTTTATGAACCTCTACCTACCAAGGGTTTTATCAGAACCATCAGTGTAAAACTGAGGACAACAGAAGCAGGCAAGCACAGTATCATTTCACAATACAATTATAAAATCTGGCTCTGTTTTTATGCTTGTTTAGACAAGAGCACTCCTGAAGAATATGCTCTAAGTTAGAGTTAACATCGAAATCGAAGCTTGTTTAAGATCGTTTAATAAAAAACCAAACAACTTTTCCAAAAAATCTTTGTGGCAGTTTTCTTAACCCCCCACTTGTTCTCAGCCTATAGGCAAAATCCTAACTGCAGCCTTAGTTTCAGTCCCTGCCTGGCCAGCAGAAGACACAGATGTGATATATTTATCTTTCTCTTGGGCTGCTCTGGGCAGTAAGCTGGGGAATCCCAGCAGCACTGGGCACAGCTGCCAGGTCTCAGTCAGATCTCACAGAGTGAGCAGAAGCATTTCAGCCACCTCACCCAGAGACAATCTGACAACAGAGTGTGGGTATGTGAGAATGCTAGGGGCTGCTGCTCTGGCAGGTTTGATGCAGGATCCTGACCCAAGGGGCCAGGATGGTAAGCTTGGGGCATGGGCCCAGCTTGCTGCCACAGGATTCCTCTCATTGGATGTACTTTTTTCTTGAGATCTTGGCAATTTTGTTGAGAAAGTGACAGTTTTGAGGGTAAATATTGTGAGTGGCTGAAGTGAGGCCACAAGTCCACTTGGCCATGAGATAATACTTACTTGGAACACCCTCAGCATGTGGGCTTGGGATGCAAACAGGGTGGAACAAAGGGGGGCTCCTTCTACCCTGGCAGAAGCAGCTCTAACTTCATTTTCTGGGGTGGAGAAACCTCTGTCTGCAATCTGTCTGAGCCAAGTCAAAGCAAAGTTCAACTTGACAGAGTCTGGTAGGAGATTTGTTTCTGTCCCGTCATCACCATCTAGCTGCAAAACTCTCCATGATGCTCCTCTCCTCCTGGCAATTCCCCCACCTACCCTTTTCCTAAAAGAGAATGGAATTTGTGCAGGAAAACTCTGGTTTTGTTTGAGTGTCAGAAGTGCCATGTCAGCCTTTAGGTGAATTCTGAATATACAGGTGGAACTTCTGCTCTAGCAGAAGGTGTATTTCCATGAGCTCCCCAGAGAAGACCTGTCTGCCTGGGATGGCAAGGGCTGCTCCTCATGGGTAGTATGATCCTGTCTGTCCCTTGTTGGACACTTGAGTGCAACAGGCAACTGTCAGGTTGATACAGATACACTTTCTCTCTTTCCTACTTCTCCTAAATTTATTCAAAAGGTCACTACTCAAATCTCATCAGCAAAAGCCCAGTGCATACCCAGGAAAAGATATGCATGTACAGACCTCCTACCTTACCATGCTAAGCAGCTGATCACTTCTTGAGCTGCATTACATGGCAAACCACAAATATGAGCAAACAAATGAGTTTACATAAATAGGAGATCCCTCCTGATCTTCAGTGGACATGAGAAAACTGTTTTTTCCTCTGATCTGTGGCACAGGAGCTTCTTGCCCTTTGCCAGTACCTCTGCACATGGAGCCATTGCACTGCATGCTTGCTCTGCATGCCTCTTACCAGCTAAAGCATCCCCATGGCCTGCTTGCAGCAGTGGCAAGTGGCACGCAAGAGGAGAGGCAAGTGTTGTGTAAGCCTGGAGATAAGTAGCATCTTGCAATTTAGGAATCCAAAGTGGGGAAAGCAAACCCAGAGGTACCTCACCTGGGTTTTGCAGTTCTGTCTCAAGGTGAGAGCTGGAGTTCATTCATCTCAGAGGCTCCTTGGACCTCCCTGAATGCAGATTCCTGCAGCTTAGCCAGCTGATCTCTCCAAGCTTCTTCCATAGTTATGAAGGTTGGGATCCTGGGTGCACCAAGATACTCTGCTAAAGCACTTTTGTGTAGTTAGGCAGGGTGAATGTTTCCCCCCACTTCCCATGTGGCCAACCGAGTGGCTGTTATAAATTGTTATCATGCTACTGACATCAAAAGATGTTCAAGGTCTTCCAGAGCAACGCTGACAGAAGCCTATTGTACAAGGAATTTAAAAAAACACGACTGCACAGCCCCCACACCCTGGACAACAAGCTTTGTATTCTTTCACAAGAACAAGATAGGATATGAGAATTTTCTCATGCATAAATTTGGTTGTCTGGTGCTTTGGGAAAAGAATACCTCTCCATGTGCTGACAGCCACTGGTAGGCATTGGTTCTAAAACTGGCACAGCAGTTGAAGCACAACACAGTTTAAAAGTATGGTTAGAGACTCAGTGTGAATGCTGCCATTTTCCCTTAGGCTAGAATCATGCCCATTTTCCATGAAAGCTAAAAAAAAAAAAAAAACACGAGAGAGAGAGAGAGGGAAAAAATACAGTTTTAACAGTTCCAAAAAGGAAATTCTATTAAAAGCAGTTGCCCCTCCCAGCTATTTAGACTGTTTACGCTATCAGGTCTTTGGGACATTGATTTTCTTTTAGTGTGCATTTGTGTTGGACTCCATATAGTGGGTGAATTCTTATAATATAAATCAATTTATAACAGGTGACTGAAAGCATTTTTCCCTCAGCGCAGCAGTCTTTGTTACTGCCTAACATTTTGGAACATGATAAATATGGGGAAAAGGATTTTATAGGATTCAACTAAAGAAAAAGCCCTATGTATTTGCAATGTGAAAGGAAGCGCTGGAAGGTTATAATTTGGCAACAAAAGGCTCTGGAAGGAAGCATGCCCTAGCAACTGTCTTTGTATAGAGAAATCAGTCGCTCGTTTATCTTACAGAAGGCAACTTTTGTAACACTCTTTGCATTGTGCCCTCCAATGACTGACGTTGCGACTGGGCTGTCAAGCTAAGAAGGGGAACAGTGTGAAAGTGAACTGGGGTATAAAGACCCCATGACAAAATGAAAAATGTTATAGGAAGGCCTTGCTGCTTAAATGAGTCAGGAGCCGTGTGAATGCTTAAAGGAGTGAGACATACTGGCAATTGTGTTTGTGTACTTAGTGATGCTCCATAATGACCCTAGTGGGTATGCCTTACAGCTAGCTATAAGCTGAGGTGAATGAAAAGGGAAGAAAATATGTGCTTTTCCCCCTGTTAATGCACAGGGATCAGACTCTGAGATTCTGCCTTCAGAAAGGTGCTGAGATGCTGGAGAAATCCTGAAGGCCAGGTATGTCATTTTCCCAGTCTACCTTGTGTCCCAGCAGAGCTGCTGGGCTGGTTTCTCAGCCCCGTCTCCCAGCTGCTCTGTGGCATGACAGGGTATTTGCATGGCAGACCAGTCTCGCAAGTGGCCCTCCTACAGCTCCTAGAGACATTAATTTTGTCCAGTGTAGACAGTCTGCTGGCTGTTTTTCACCTGCTGCCACTTCTCCTTGTATTACCCCTTCTTGACCTTTCTCATATTTCTAACTCTCATAGGATTTCTTTATTACTAAAAAAAATACATGTCTACCTATGGGCTGCAAGAAAGGGCTTGCTAGTATCCACCTTTTTTGTTGTTTCCAATGCATAAAAATGTTTGCTGTCATGCTGGAATTATGTAAAAGAAAGAAGATATTTTCTTCAGTGGGATAAAGCTAGGTTGGAGAGACATTTCAATGCAGAGCTGTTTTGGGTGGTAGTAATTGTAATGCTATTTTAAGAGAACAAATACATCAGCCTGGGGCAAGGTTTTTGAATCACTTAGGTCTGACTTTTCATTAAACTTCTGTGAAAAAGGAATATGGAAAAGAAGGTACTAACTAAATGGTTGCCCTGAAAAGCAAGCTATTAAGGACTCTGTTTCCCTCTGCTCCCTCGGTTTGACTTTTAGCTTCTTCCTTAGTGGGTCTGCACCCCACACTCCACCTGGCTGAAAGGGGTTGGGGCCACTATGAAACATGAGGGGACCTTGGAGAGGCAAAGTTTTCTCAGCCCATTTAAGTAGCAGTGCTGTAAAGGCACAGCAGTGTCCAAATTGGGAAACCTGCTGCCTTTTCCAAAGCTTACTCCCAAAGTTTGGGGTCTGGGTAGCTGCTTCTGATGCAGAAGCAGGGTCAGCCAGGCCATTGCATCTGCCAGGCCTCTGCAGGCGTTCACCCAAATAAGAATCCCACTGAGATTATGGGTGCCCAGCCCTGCAGCAAGCAGGGACACACAGGTTTGCAGTGTGCATTGCAGGCTGGGCTACTGAGCAGCCATGGCAGGCCCTGCCCAGGTGAGCAGAGGGCATGTGGCATCCACAGAGGGATCTGCACTTGGGAGGGAGCAGCTGATGGAGGCAGGTTGTGATAAACCCTGAGGAAAGGAAACAGCAAGGCAGCACCCTTAGGATAAGAATGGGGAACATGTTCCTCCTGGCCCAGATGGACAGCACCCACTCAGTCAGGCAGGAGCCCAAGCCCACAGGCCTCTGTGCTGGTCCTGTGCTTGCCTTTGCACAGACAGCAGAATTTTGCTACTCTGTTATTTTTTAAGCTTTCCAGACAGACCATTTGTTTCCTTTTGCCCAGGTGCATGGCACCTTTACAAGCAATCAATACCAGGAGTGTCATGCCATGCTCTGCCTCTGAGTCTATCTAGATAAACACCAGCTGCTTGATTTGCATCATCTCCAACTTGGCTCTTTTGCAGCTGTCCTTGCCACAGTGTGAGAGACCACAAGTCTTCCATTGCTGCAACAGTTTTTTAATTAAGTACAACTTCTTTCCTTAGAGTTCACATACAGATTAATATTAATATGTTGGTGCACAGCTATTCAGTGGTTTATTTATTAGCTCTGCATGCCAAATTAATGGTGGCACAGCAGATTCTTGGAATACCCATCCTATTCTGTTTTATTTTCACCCACCTTCCTTTATTTCAGCAATGCAGCAATGTTCTATTCTACAGTACTTGGGCTTTCAGAAAATCCAAGCTCTTGCTCTTTAGAGCCATGAAAGCTCCTTGGTGAGGCATTTTGCCTTGCTGTCTGCTGGTGTCTTGGGATGCTTAATCCTTTGAGGGTTTCTGAGGTGCTGCTGAGTTTTGGATGAGTTTTTGGATTATTAATGCTGAGCAGCCTCTGGATGATTGATTGAGTCCCCACTGATTCTTTGTGTGGCTTTGGCAAGGAGCAAACTGAATTTGGAGGGTGAGACTCCAGGCTGTAGGCTCAGAAAGGGGGAGCACACATCCCCACAGTAATCACAAGTGTCCCCATGTCTGAGACAATTTCAATTGCAATTCTTCTCCCATGTCCTTCTCACTTTGGCATCATAATTGCAAAAGCACCAAAGGACCCTCTGGTTTTGACCATGGCACCCTCTGACTCCTTACAGTCACCTTCCCTTCTTGATCATGTGTGTCCTGGGTCTGGTGGGTCCCTCTACCCTTACAGCTGGGACAGTCCTGTGAGGAAGGGTTTCTGGAGGATGTCTTTGGCCACATATGTGGTTCAGGCTAGTATGTCTAGCCCTAACCACTCAATGGCCAAAGGTCTTGCAAGAAACTCCTACCAAAAGTGGCATCAAAGAGTTAGGACACCATCAAAACCACCAGAAGATGACCATTATAAGTTCAGTCATCTTCTGTTTCCATGCAGGTTTTAAATATGTGTGAAGAGATTCTGTAACATTGGTTTGTGTGTGCACCTTGCCTAAAAAATATGAGATAGAAATTTATCGGCGAGTGGTAATTTAGGAAAGGGAGGTATCTGAAAGCTTGAAGAACATTTTGTTGGTTGTAGCAAAAATGAAAATATGAAAACACAAAACACACTTTGAGAACTAAATATACCCTCCACAAGTTTGTTGTTTCTTTTCTATGTTTACTTCTCATTCTTTTCAGACATTAGCACACATTTAAGCTTATATCAATACAGTAAACCAGGCAGACCAAGTAGTATCTGCAGTGAAACTAACTAATACCTGTGATGAGGCCAGATAGCACAAAAAAACAATGTTAGCTTAGTATTTTCACTTTAGCTTAGATGCTCGTGCATTCTCCATCCGTACCTATCCATTGCTTACAAAGCACAGCTGCTGTTTGTATTTTTTGATGATCTGACATTTTAATGGGACAGGAATGAATTCAAGAAGTTTTTGAAAGATCTTGCTATTTTCATTTCTGCTTAAAACTCTTGGAAGGACTTTTCAGGTCAGTTTTGAAATTTTATCTGTCCTGGTTACATTTGACTCCTGTAAGATAGCAACTGAAATAAATTAATTAATCTATTCAAATGAATAAATCAGAAAGTCACCATAAGCCAGGAGTGTGTGAGGTGTGTGTGCACCTATGTAATGAGCAGGAGCTGTTTACAACATGTTCAAGGTCCTCTTCTGTTTTGTTTACTCTTCAGGCTTTTCACAGGAACCTTTTTGTGTGGCAGTCTCGACAGCAACTGATGCAGTTAGGGAGAGCACACTTGTAAAACCAAAGTTAAACTCTGTGGAAGGCAGATTTTCCAGTAGCAATTAAAGCCATGCCCAGCTCCAGGCTGGATCACCAGGTGCCCCAGCCGCCCTGTGCTCCCCTCAATGCCAAAAGCAGCAGCAGCTGGTGCAGCTCCGTTGGTTTTATGGCCAGCTTGTGGCATGAGCACAGGGCCACGCTGGCAGCACAGATTGGGGCCCCTGGCTCGATCACGAGCAGCAGGAGAAGCTGAACTCTGCATTTAAAAGCAAAATGTGGAGCAGAGTAAAGCTGCAAACACAGGCACATATCAAAATAGCTACAGTAGGCAGCTACCTGCCATGCTCCATGGGAAAAGGCAGGGCCTTCATTCTTGCCAGCAGAGCCATGCTGCTGCAGAGCTTGATCTTGTTGCATCCAGGCACTGCCGGCTGCTCGTGCCCTCTAGCCACATCCTGTTTTCTTTGCATTTGCCAACAGGGTGAGTAATGCCAGCGACTGACAGGGCAGCTGGCACCAAGTGTGCTGTGCTGGCTTTTCATCTCTAATTACCCCCGTACACTGGGCTGTCTAGCTGTTAAATTATCTGTCATGAACATGTCCGAGTATAGTCAGTCACTTGGGGCCTTGTGCTGTCCTTGATTCTTCCTTTGTGGGGCAAAAATTCTCCCTAGGATGAGTAGATATTTATGTTTCAGGCGGTTGATTTTCCTTTTTCTTATACTTATTTTTGCTGGGGATAGCTGGGCACACAGAGCTGAGTGCTGAGATTGTAGGTGCTATTCCTGCAGTACTGCAAAGGTGTATTCATGGTTATGAGAGAGAAAAAGAGAAAGGTTTTACAGTGTTTCTCAAGGGTGCTTTGAATCCCGGCATTTTTTTAAATCTCTCCTGGAAATTCATGCTGCATCTGGAAACGGCTAAAGACATTTTTAGATCTCAAAAAAAAAAAAAAAAGTAATATACCATGAGTAATTAATTAGCAAAGTAATTACCAAAAGTAATATGTCATGGTGTACAATACCATGACATGCAGATCTACACATACTAACCTAACTGAAAGTGTAACTACAGAATATTTGCCCCTGGCTGAACTGGACACCATGCTATATCCCTCCTTCTAGTCAATGCAACAGCATGTAGCTGGCATGCTATTTCCTGTGTGTGGGCATTGCTTGGGCCCCAGAGACTCTGGCCTTTGCTGTGGGTGATCCTTGCTCTTTTTCCCCTACCAGGTCCATGGGAAATGCATGTGCAAGCACAACACTGCAGGGTCCCACTGCCAGCACTGCGCCCCGCTGTACAACGACCAGCCTTGGCAGGCTGCTGATGGCAAGACTGGAGCCCCCAGGGAGTGTCAGTGTAAGTAGCCAGTCAGGAATGGTGTCTCCAGATCCTTGCCAGAGTGAAATGCTTCCTCCATGCGTGCCTTTCTCCTGTGTGTCCAAGAGCAGCACATCCTGAGGTGGTGGGGAGGTGCTTTCCAAGCAGCTCAGCAGTGAAGAGGCACTGCCACACCCCTGCCCAGCACCCACCATGTGTTTGTGTGGCCAGGACAGCCCTGTTTGCACAGCTCCTCACTTGGCAATCCTCACCAGACCACGATGTCTGTTGGTTTGGCCTTTCTCTGGGACCCAAGTGCATCTCTTGGGGGAAAGGTCTGCTGCTGTGGGCAGTCTGCAGCCTATCAGGGTACCTTGGAGCTGACAAGGGGCCAGATTTGTCCTATCCATGGACACCACTGACAAACACCTTTGCAGGAGGTATGACTTTCTGCTGCTGGGTGTGGGCTCTGCTCACCCCTGGGCACTGAGGGCAGGAGCAGCCATGGGCTCTGGAGGTTTGTAGATCAGTTCTGCAGTGCCAGGGGGGATGCCTAGGGAGAGTGCTGCAAGTAGGGGAATGCAGAGGTCATGGAGCCATGTGCTTCAGTAAGAGCAGCAGTCTAGGCAGAAGGGTGCTGAGGACTCTCCACACCACCCCAAGAAGGCTTGCGGGCCTGCTGAGTGCCATCCTGCCCTGACTATAGTGCTATCCATACATAAGCAACCATCAGCCTGCCAGTGTGGGCTATGGTCATGCTCACTGCAGTATGGATGATCCCTGAGGGAACGACAGTGAATTCTTACTCACACCAGCAGCATTTGATGAGCAGGCATTGGAACAGGTCTCACTTGACCCTTGACTTCAGTTGTGTGGGCATGCAGATTTCCTCCACTGCCAGCACAGGGTAAGGAGGATGCTTGTACTCTCTCACACACCTATCCTCCACCTGCCTTTTTCCTCCCTCAGCTGTGGGGGAATATCCTGACAGCACCCTCATGGCAGATGTTGTATAGGGCAGTGCTGATTTCTAAAGCTGGGAGGGAAGGATCCTTCCTCAGCAGGACCGGTAAATGTGGGTCTCTCTGTTCTGGCCTGACCACCTGTGGCTGTCCTTGTACTGGAAAACCTGTCTTGGAAATAAAAGAATTAAAGAAAATACTTTTTCTTAAACGTTATCTCCAGAGGTTGGGAAGTGTAGATGAAAATGTAGTGCTACTTCAGGCATTCAAATGAATAACAGGTTCATAGGCCAAGTCCCTGTTCCAAAACGTGATTTTGAGTTTTTGTGTCTCTTTTCTATAAACCAGTACCTTTCACAGCCTTAATGAGTTTTCCTGTTCCCTTTGGCTTTGCCTCAGCGTGCAAGTGCAATGGGCACGCCGACACTTGTCATTTTGACATGGCTGCGTGGCTGGCATCGGGCAATCGCAGCGGCGGCATCTGTGACAACTGCCAGCACAACACGGAAGGGCAGCACTGCCAGCGCTGCAAGCTGGGCTTCTACCGCGACCTCAGGAGGCCCTTCTCTGCCCCAGATGCCTGCAAACGTAAGTCAGCAGCCACGTACTGCTGAAGGGCTTCTCAAGGGGGAAAGGGTCAAACCAAAGGTGAGATCTTCTTGCCCTTCCTTGGAGCAATCTTCTTGCTTCACTGAAGGACTGGGAGCTCTTTGAATCCTCTTTGTGATACTGCTTGCAAAAAGCAGCGGTGATATTTGCAGGGTGAAAATCTACAGATGCTGTTGACAAGGATCCCTGTAGCCTGAGGGGAGGGGAAGAGAGATGATTAATTTACTTTCTCCTATTGCTATTTTTGGAGAGGAAAAGCTGCATCTTGTTTTCATGTTCTCCTTGTTTGCAACCTCAGAAATGGGTTCCTCAGCCAGCAGGGGTGCAGCTGATAAATAGCATCGCCCACCAGTTCATGTTCCCAGCAGCAGGTGGGTATGGAAGGACAGACAGGAACACTGTCTGATAACTGATATTCCGGAAGGTGGGATGCTGAGGAGGCAAGACTAAACGCAATGATTCAGGCACATGTGAAATTAAATCTTTCCCAAGCAAAGAAGCAATCCAAAAGCCACACTCCCCAAGGACCACTGTGAGGATGGTGACTCACGATGGGGGACTCCAGATCCCCAAATTATGCTGAGAACATTTTATGGTCAGCTAAATCCAGGGTGCAGGCATGCCCTCCTCTCTGAGCCTACAGCCACCCACTGGCTTCACAACATTTCTCCTCGCTGACTCACCTGCTATGAGGGGGGACCTTCACAAGTGACAGAAAGAAATCCAACTGACACCCTGCCTGTGTCTTTTGAGGAGACACTGAGCACGTCTCTCTCCTCTCAAGGAGAAGTACCTGCATGTAAAGGAAGAGGGAACCCTCCTGCAGTGAGGAGCTGCACCCCAGGCTGGGAACAGCTGCTTTTGTCCTGCTCCCTTGCTGCATATAATCCTCATGAGATTCCTGGCAGTCTGTTGCACAGGTCCTCCTCCTCTCCAGCTTTCACTCATTGCGAGGAGGGGCAGCAACAGCTGAACTGCCTGTTTTACAGCCCTAGTTCTCTTTATGGAAATGGAATTGACCACAGCTCATTGCTTATGTAAATAATTACTTCACTGCTGTAGTATGTACACAATGATTTTTTTAAACAGTGAATTTAATTACTTTAAAAAGTTTCATTACCGACTTGTATACATCAAAGTTCTAAATCTCCTCTGTAATATCAGATACTTTTCCTCCTTAATTATAGCCAGAACTTAGGCAATGAACTTTTGTTTTGGAGTCTCATTAGGAAGAAAACAGGCTTAAGTCTTGCATTTACACACAGAGCAGAGGCTATATGGTTTTTTCTAACTCGTGGATTCATCCTTGCTGATTAAGAAAGAACAAATAGTATTAATTGACTGCTGGTAGGTAATGCATGACAGAAGACTGAAATAAATGTTGCATGGGACCTTCAAGCTCTGAAGCATCATTGTTCTGTGCTTTTGGTACCTTTGCTGGGGTTGTAATTCCTGATATTCTTTACAAGCCAGCTCCCATCAGGGAAGATTATGCACTTTTCTGAGGCAAGTGAAGCTTTGGCCCTGAGCTGAGTGTGGTTTTCTGGCCACCTAAAGACACCACCCTTTACTTTGGAAGCAGTAAAAGCAGTGGCTCTATCTCCTTTGTCACCTCATTCAGTCCATTGAGGGAGGGGAGTTTCATGAAGCTTGTCCTTGTACCAGACTGCCCAGTCCATAATCTGTGGCTGTTTGCAGGGTCCAAGAAGAAGTCAAATAGCACCTCCTGGGCTGGCCAGCACTGAGTGGCTTTTCCTTCCTTGCAAAGCCAGATGGAAACAAGAGGTCTCAGGACATATTGCTGCAAAGCAGCCCCAGCTCAGAGGGAAGGCTGCCAACCCTGTGCACGTGCCTGTGTGCAAGTTAGACCATTGTTAATGAAGTCAGGCAGTACATCACATCATTAACTGTGTGTTAGCCAAATTCCAGGGTTCTTGATTAAAAAGTTTCTCCTCACCTTCATGAGCCAGAGGAAGCTGTGGATTTTAGATTATTAATGGGTATTTTTGTTGATTTATGCCAGTGCTTGGTTCTCTTGGCTTTCTGCATTCATCTCTGAATCTCTGGCCCATGGCATTCCACTTTCCACATTAAAAAAAAAGTGTTGCCTCCATTACTCTTTAATGCAACAATCCAGCTTTATGGACCACTAGATACTCATGAACTCTGGTATTTAAAAGCCAAAGATAACATATACTTAACAAGAACTGAAAGATACTCTTGAGTATAGTGAGAAAAAGTTTACATTTATTTACCTTCTTCATCAAGTACATCTACTTCATCACTCTTTTTCTTTCTGCATTTATGAATTGCAAAGCATGATACTCCCTCAAGTATCTGAGGAAGACAACTTTTCCTAGCACAAACTGAACTCCACAAATATAGGGATTATCTGAATGCTTTCTTTTCAGAGACCCTGTTACTACAAACTCCCAGATGATTTCTCTCTGGGCTTTTCAAACCCTCACAAAAGCACTCCTCCCTAAGACCCCTTCACCTCTTTACTTCTGGTCTCCTCCTGCCAGGAATGCTCCCTGCACCCAGGGACTCAGCATCTCACAGGGGAGATGGCAGCGGCAGGGCCGTAGAAAATGACTAATGACTGTTAAATTAAATTAGTTAGGATCAATTACAGCCTATGCCTGGAACATTTCCAAGCACCATGCCATGGTCTGCAATAACAAGGGACGTGCGTGGAGCCCTATTATTCTTTCGTGGGAAGGCCATGGCACTGCCTGCTTGTTTCTGGCTCAAGACACCATTATTGTTCAACCATTGAAAATTTAAAAATACCTAGGTCTAAGTAAATAAAGGAGTTGTTAAGCCATAATCTTTAAGGATACTTTAAAGATTCTTGTAGGCAAAGAGTGTATATAGTATTTGCTCAGGAGTAGGAGTGTATCTGATAAAATGAAACATTCTGATATTTAAAACACCAATCTGAGGACTCTTTCCCCCTGTCATACCTATGAGTCCTTTTCTTTCCATCCTCATGAGTTTTTAAGCCTTGGCTACAGTACAATTGCAGGCAATAAAATTGAGTTTTATAATTGCCAAGTTTATTTTGCTTTTCAACTGTAGGGTTTTGAAGGTAAATATTTGTCATTTCCAAAGGTTAGCTGGTAGCCAAGGAAACCACAACAGTATCACCAATCCAGGGCAGGGAAATCCAGTTCTGCTGGCATCCCACTCACTGATTTTCCATCCCAGTCAGCACATGCAATGCCAGGACAAGCAGTTGTTAATTCATCTGTGCATGGAAGTCACATGCAGAATACTGTTATGTAGTACTGGCTGGTAAATTAGCATTTTTAACAATGCTGCTTAAAAATCAAAAAAAAAAAAAGGAAAAGGATCAAGCTTGTGGAAGGTTTCTCTTGATCCAAGGCTAGGGCCCAGCCATTCCTTCTCTCACAGGAGCTCCCTTGGCTGTAGAGACTCACAGCCCCTCTGGTGAAGTGGCCACAGCACACGAGATAGGCACTGTGCAAAAGCCTCAGCCTGAGATCTTACACTCTGCACCTGTGTGTCCACAATCAAATGCCATCCAACACTGCCTCTGGCTACTTTCTCTGCTGCTCAGCTGCTCCTCTCACCTTCCTGGATGGGGGACTCCTACTACCTGTGCTACAGTGAGGTGCAGATTGTGTGGAAAGAGAAAAATGGGGTCTAAAACCAACACAGCACGGCTGCCTATGAGGGACCAATAGCTCCAGATTTCAAACATTGTGTAATCAGTCCTGCAATCTTTTCCTTCCTGCCCTTGCCATAGTATGGAAGCACTCCATCCTTTTTCCATGCATTTCTTTCAAATGTGGTATAGCATGCTCACATCTGAGCTCTAGAGCCTCATTTCTGTGCTTGGTGCATAGCGATGGGCTTCACTTTATGTCTGCATTGCTCAACAAGTTCCCACTGCAGCCCCCCACAAACATTTACTATGTTGGAAATTTGCCCCCCAAACCATTCAGATTAATGCCCTTTAGTGTCATCTTGGGCCTTCACCCGATCCAAGAACAAAAACCTTCAATTTGCCAGCCACCATTGGAAAGCAGATTCTCACCTTGGTGGCTCATTGAGGAGCAGCCAGGAAGGATGGGATCCATGGAAGTGGATATTCAGGCCTGTTGGAAATTACCAGCCTTTACAACACATCTCTTTGTGGCTTTTATTAAAAAGTATAGCCAGCCATTCTCATTTTTAGTTGTCTTTTTAATTACTTATGAGTTTGCTGCTCTTTTTCATAATAGCTTTTGTAAATTTAATATTCTTGCTTCACTGTAGTTGTAGTGTAGTTGTAGTGTTGCCACTGATGTTAAACTTTATATTAGGAAAAAAAAAGTGTGTAAAAGAATTGTCTAAAACATAAAAGCTCCCACCCCAATGAGGTTGTATGTAAAATTCAGCTGAAACCTGACCAAAACAGGACCAAATCTCTGGCTGAGCAGTGGGTTTATCTCATTAACTGGAGGAGAATAGAAGAGCCTTAAGTGCCTGATATTTCCCCTGAAGGGCCTGAGGAATGCCAGAAATACCCTCCTCATCTAGTAGGAAAATAGAGCATTTGGCTGTATGTATCAGGTGTAAAACACTTCACAGACTTCAGGAGAAAGGTATGCAAGTTGCAGTGCACGCTGTTGAAAACTATGCTATTAAATGTACCAGAGTTCAGTGCCTGCAGCTACTTACGCAGTTTGTGGAGAGCCTTTCTAATCTTTTAATTTTATATAATTATATTTGTTTGCGAGTGGAAAGGGTGGGGGAAATTTGGGGATTACTTTGGCAAAGATGTTGGAATCATAGTCGCCTCTAAGTTAACTGCCAATATTAATCTATCTTTTAATATTTTGAAACTATACTCCAGGTATGTCAGATTCCTGAAACCACAAAAATGTTGTCAGAGCAAAATTAAATGTATGTGTGCAGCAATAAGTATTTTAAGAGAAAGAAATATGTTGCCTGTAATGGCTTTCCAGCTCGATTGCCTTCAGAGTTGCAAAATAGAAAGATTGGTATTAGAATTTAGTGAAAATATTCCCTACAGGTATAATTTTCTCAGGAAACTCAATTTTATGCAAATGACACTTTGGGCAAAGGCGTTTCAGCAGGGAATTTTTTGCCATAAAGTGTAAGGCTGACCCTACCATGTCCTGGTACAAACGCTGAGGGAAGAATAGCACACGTCACCCAGTTACTGGTCCTGCAGGCCACAGCATCACCTGCTGACCTGGCCACATGGTCAGAGGTTTGGCTCATGCTTTTGATAGCTGCATTTCTGTTCTTTGAAAACATTAACGTCTTGGAGGGAAAGTAGCCTTGTAACAGACATAAATTATGCTATGTTAAAAAAAACCCCTAAGGAGTAGGTAAGGAAAGCTTCACATCACCTATTTTAGGGCATCTTTTCTGAGAACCCAGTATGTCTCAGCACAGTTCTAGTGCATTGTTCTGATGCAGGAGGCTGTGAGGGAGAAAAGAGAGCAGCTGGAATTTCTGATGTGCATTCTGCAAACCCGTGTCCTGGAGAATATGCAAAAGCCTATCTCTGAGCCGTCAGTTCCCTCATTCTTTTTTCCTAATGTTTTGAATTGATGGTTTTAAAAATCAGGCAGAGACAGAGGGGTACTTTTTGCTCAGCCTTCACTTTAATTAAAATGACTGTTCTGAGGGGTTTTTTAACCTCCTGGATGCATGGCAGTAGTTATTATTTCAAAAGGCAATTATGCTCTGATTCATTTTTCAATGAAGCACCCGCAGCTGCTCAAACATCACAGTGAGGCAGGCACATCCCTGGGTACTCGGCCAGACTAGAATCCAGATGCTGCAAGGAAAGTAATAAAGGCCTGTTTGGCAAAACATAACACAACACCAGGGTAGGCTGACTAATTAAAAACTAGCTCACAAAACTTAAAATTCTACAGATTCCAAAGGGAGACTCCGCTCAGATTTGTATGGGTGAGGGATAAAAAAGCCCAGAAGCCCCAGAGGTGTCCCTCGGCAGAGAGGTGGTTTTGCAGGCATCTCCTGCACCTCTGTGATGCAGAGGTTGTGCACTCACAGATGCTCTGTCCCTCACGGTATCCCTCCCCTGCAGCTTGCTCCTGCCACCCTGTGGGATCGGCTGTGCTGCCCCTGGGCCCCGGCACCTTCTGTGACCCCAGCACCGGGGACTGTCCCTGCAAGCCCGGCGTGGCAGGGCCCCGCTGTGACCACTGCCTGCCCGGCTACTGGGGCTTCGGGCCCTACGGCTGCCGGCCCTGTGACTGCGCCCGCAGCTGCGACCCCCACACCGGCGACTGCCACAGGTGAGCTGGGGGGTCTGCGATCTCAGCTCCAGGAAGGCTCTATTTGCACATGGCAAGCAGGCTAAAAGTATCCATTATGTCAAATACTTGGGGTTTGGTATGGGTTTGTTATGGCCAAGAAGTGGGAATAGAGTGGGAGCTGAGGCTGTGGTTCCCTTGGGAGCCTGGCACACCATGGCAGGGCACCAGCGATGTTGGAGTTTTTGCTCTCAGTGCAGGTGTTAATGTACCGGGTGTTTTCCATAACCTTCACAGTTGTTTCCTCTCCACAACATGTAAAATGTGGGCCTCAGGGACATCTGAGTGAGAGGAGACCGAAGGCTTAATTTTGCTGGTTTAACTCAGCTTATATTGACTGGGGCTTGGAGTCAAGCTCTGACTTTTAGAAAACAGCACATTTTAATAATGCCCCACTCTCTAAATCTGACATGTTGCTTTCTTTACCAGACTGAAGATATTTGTGGTATATAAATCTCTATAACGTATTTTAAACGCAAAATGGATCCATGATCCTCTCTGACAACACTCAACCTGTTCACCTTCCAAAACTGCCTCTTGCATTTACCACCATCAAGACACACAGTCACGTTGTGTCTGGAGGATGGGCTGGTAGTGGCCCTGCTTTCCACTGGCTCCTGGAAGAAGGTTGATCATCTCCCTTTCCTCTCAACAGCTCAGAAGTTTCCTGGCATAATGAAGCACCTCCTTTCCAGGCAGTGCTCAACGAGAGCGAGCCCACCTGGGGCTGGGAGGATGAGCAGGGCTTCTCAGCACTCCGGCACTCTGGTAGGACTGCGGCTTTGCACGTGTTCCACCCGCCCAATCCCTCCTGCCAGCAGCCACTGCAGACCTAGTCTGCTGCACTGACTTGTAGTTAGCTCCCTGGCAGTTGCAGGGGGAAATGGACAATGCCACACTAACATGTGGAGGAATGTCCTTGTGGCCACCTCCTTCCCCTCTGAGAGCCAGAGCCTCAGAGGCATTATGGCTCATCCCGTCAATGCAAGGATGTGCAAACCCATTAGACAGATGCTCCATGCTGAATGCCTGTACCCAACATTTAGCTGTTGTAAGGTAAGAATTTGCAGTCCCAGATCTGAATTTCAAGGCTGAGTGTCCTCATGTTTTACTTGACCATCATCTTTTAAAGGTATCTTTATATTCCCTGAAACTCAACAAAGCAGCAACTTTATTTAAAGGGTGGGGTTTGCCACTTCACTGGCAGGCAGGTAGGGGATTTCTAACTCAGAATTTATTTCCCCGATACCCAGAACAATTTTGGCATTGCTTGCAGCTTGTGGTGCCATTTGAGATGGTCTAGCATGCAGCTGGAGAAGTTATTTCCCTCCGGTGTTCCCAGCCTGGGGGAGGTGGGTGCTGCATGAAGGTGGGTGCAGGGCAGGCTGGCCCCGTGGGGCAGCATCAGGCTCTCCTCCCTTGCAGCTGCTGCATGCAAGCAGGCAGGCGTCATTTCCTCCGTTTTCAGAGAGGGGCTTGATAACATCTCGAAGATACAATAATTGAGTTAATTGAGGGGAAAGCTCCATCATTTGTCTAGGCCACTTCATTTTAAACGTAAATAAGTATATCATGTTATTCTTTGTTCTAAGATCACGGAAGTCATTAATCTGCCTTAACCTCTGCAACATTTCCTTTTAAAATTTTGTCTGGTACATTACGGTGTGGAAAATACCACAGGGAAAGATACGCATGTTATTTGCATCCCAAGGCAAAATAATAAGGCCTTTGTTTTCCTTCTCTTCTAATTGTAAACAAGGGGTAACTGCCCTTGGACTAAGAGTCTGTATTCACTCTCAATCTGAAAACAGTTGCAAATTCCTTTTTCTCTTTTTGTATGAGGCTTGTGAACCACTTGAAAAACCTCTGGCTGTTCCTGGCCTCTGCCTGCAAATGCTCTGTCTTTTAAGCACAATTCACTGCCATTTGCTCCTTCTTTTTCCCCAGGTAAATGCGAATGTAAAGAGCAAGTTTTAGGGAATCCCAAGGTCTTCTGCGGGATGAAGTACACCTATGGTGAGTTGTGGGTGAGGAGGCTGCAAAGGGAGGTCTGCAAGGCAGTGCAAAAGTGTATACAGAGCATGAGAGTTGCTGTGTGTGCACCACTCCATCCTGGCAAACCCACGGGATACTTAGTCTAAAGGCAGAACTTCAGCCAAAATGTACAGGTATCATGTTTCCAGGTCAAGGTGGGTGAAGCATCTTGTTCTGTTACCCATCTCTCTTGCTATCAAAACACCCTTGTACAAAAATCATGGGAGGGACGAGTGCTGGAAATGTCCCTGGGAGGTTGTCTAGGTCCAAGAGAGACTATAAACCACTGTTACCCAAAATGGGTCACTGAAACAGTGTCAGTAGACAAGGTGCCCTAATCAGAGTCTAGAAATTACTGTTTCTGAATGATACTGAATGTAAGGAGGGACTGTGATTACCATTCCATGGATAAAACAATTCCAGTAGCAACTGGGAACTCCCACTGTCAACAAAGTTCAGCTGTTGCAAGGGGTTGATATATAGTGTCTATGTGTCTCTTGGGTTTAAATGAATGAGAAGAGGCACTTTGTTTCCCAAGACCTCCCTGGTGTGTGCCAATGAACTGCCTCCTTCATACTGTGGCAGAGCAAGGAATGCTCTGTGCAGCACTCCCTTCCTTCACAAGGCATCTCTTGCAGGGGTTTCCTACACCTGTTTCGTCTCACACTGAAGTTGAAAATGTACAGAGAGATAGCCCATACCTCTGCAGGCTGCAGAGCAACCTACAAAGTGGAGTTCAAGGGGTTGCCAGTTGTTGAAATGTAGCCCTGGATTTGTGATATTAGGAAAAAATTTGATTCTGCTCTGTTTTGCTTCCCAGCCACGATAGTAACTGTGTTTAATCTTGCAAAAGATAAGAAACTGAAAAAAAAAGAAAGCCACAAAACCTCCAAGTTCATAAATCTTATCTAAAGTGCACTCAGGCTGCCCCCACTTTCATCAGTCAACATGTGAAGGTGTCAGCTACACTAGAGACAGATGAATTATGGGGCTCATCATGAGCTCCAGGAAGTCTCACTGAGAGAGGCTGGCTGCCCTGAGCTTCCCAGTGTGGGTGCTGAAAAAAGCACCACCAATATGGGGATACCTACCAGTATAGGAGGTGGAGGAGCTAAGCCCTGAGCCTCCACCACACAGGGGCTCAGCAGTGGAATGCCAGGTGGAGGAAATGTGGGTATGAGTGAGCTCAAAACACTCCCTGATTTGCCCCAGTCCCCACCAATGGCTCGCTCTCCTCCACTGAATTTGGATTTGGCAGCTCTGCAAAGCAGCAGGACTGGCACTGGGTGGGATGAGGCTGAGGCCAGCAAAGCCTCCAGGTCCATCCCTAAATCCAACTGATTTCCAAAAGAGATAAGGAACACAAAGGGTTTGTTGAACTCCGGGAGAAAAATGGGACCTCACACTCTCCTGGCAGTTCCAGAGGCCATGACCAAAGCAACTGGCAGCATTTCTGCCCATGGGTGTGGGGATGTATGTGCTTCCCAGCAGCTGCTCTGATCCTGGGCTCCCCAGCAAGGAACACTGGGCTAACTCCACTGTAACAAAGCACTTGTCCTCACTGCTTCACCCAGACACCGGCAATAGACCAAGAAAAAAAGAAAGAGCCCTGTAAATAGTTTGTATATTCCTGGTTTTGAATTCCTGTGTTCCCAGTGATCAAGACAAAGATCTTGTCAGCTCATGACAAAGGCTCCCATGCAGAAGTCAGTGTGAAGATCAAGAAAGTCTTGAAGTCCACAAAGCTGAAGATCCTCAGGGGCAAGAGGACACTCTACCCTGAATCGTGGACTAACAGAGGCTGCACTTGTCCCATCCTCAATCCTGGTAAGTTTGACTCCCTGAACAGTACATCCCCACCACATATACACAGATTTCATTGCAGCCCCTCTATCTCCTCTTACCAATGAGCTGGGATTGCAGCCCAGTGCTAATTAAAAATTATTGTCTGTTACATCACTTGGATTCCAACAGCAATCTCCATCAAATTGAAATTTCATAGAGAAAAACTTGGTTCATCCTATAGGCTTTGAAACACACAGTTCTTTTTCCATAGTATAGCAACAGGCTTTCAGCTTTACCAGTCTCTGTTCCCAGAGGGAGGGAGGTGCACATCATGCCACAATAAATAGCATTGATACATCTTGATACATCTTTCAAAGCTAAAGCTAATCTGAATCTATAAAAACATATGTAAATCTAATTTGAATTGGGATACTGCACTGAAATTCTAATCTAAACTCAGGGGAAGATTTCTCTTTGAAAGTAACACAAATTTAGATCTACAAGATTTGGAAGACATTCTCTTATGCAGTGAGGGAAGAGCTTCACAGTTTTTTCCCCATCTTCTTTCAGTGAAATGGAGTATAAGCAACGGTGACTAAACAATGCATGCAGTCTCCAGTATGGATAAGGACATGCAGGTTCAGGGGTTTCTTCCACAGAGCAAAACTAAGCTCCAGCTGACACACCTCTCTTTACAACTCCAAGATAAATGAGCAGTTACCAACTAATTCAAATGAAGGGTTTTCTTTCCATGAGATGTATACACCACTGGGAAATTGGCAATGGAAGCATTGATGTAGGTGCTGAGACATCCCTTTCATGTGCAGCACTAGCAACTAGAGGGTACAGGGCTGTCTGTGGGGCTGGGCTGTGCAGAAAGGTTATTCACTGATGAGGTGTTTGCAGCCTTCTTTCATGTCCTCAGGAGTGACTGTCTGGTTTTGAAGGCAAGCTGCTGTGATAGCACAGCTGTAGCTGGGACCTGTCAGGTGCAAAGGTCAGAGGAATCAGCAGCATTAGGTAGGGCTCTACTGTTTAAGTGCAGTAAGACTTTGGATATTGCTGGAACACCATAAATCACTAATCAAATAGCCATAGCTGGTGTATTTTTCCATATGCAATGAAAGAAAACTCAAGCAAGAAAGCCCAGATGCAGCTGCCTTAATATGAACCTGAAGGAATGCAATGGAAGCTGTCCAAAACTGAGCCTGCAGGGCAGCCCCACACCTGACACCCAGCTTTGCCACTCGACTAACTTCAGAAGAGCTTCACTGATTTTCCCCAACAGATGAAAAGACAGCATTAATCACAGAATCAGTGGAGATCTCTTAGAAAACAGCAGAAAGGGGGAGATGCAACTGTTCTTAGTGACAGTCCAGGTGTCTGACACATCAGGTGTTAATCCCTTGTTACTTCCTTGCCAGCTCTCATGATTTTCACTGCAAAGCTTGCTATTGTTTTGAAATACAGCTGCTGGTCCCATGAGTATAAATTAGTCTCAGCCTTCATGTTGAAAAGAAGTTTGTTGCTAATAGGAAACTTGAAAACATCCATTGAGCGAATCTTTAAGATTCAGTGATGTCAAAGAGGGAAAAAAAGATTCCTGATTTTTTTTTTAATTCATTATTTTCTTTAGCTACTACATTCATTTCTGAGTGGCTTGCAGTACAATATTAGCAGATTCAGCCCTCTATCACAGTAAGAGCTTATGGCCTACAGGTGAATAAACCAAAACCAGCTGGATGAAAAGTCAAGCTGACATAAAACAATTTTCTGACATACAGCTATAATGGAAATCACATCTTCAAAAACATAGAGGAGATCAAAGATAAACATAAAAGTAAGACAGATGTGTTTTTATACCATTTTACAGAAGTAAAGGGTTGCCAAAAGAAGAGTAGGCTCTTAAAGTCTCTGACAAGGCAAAAAAACCTGCAAACATTTATCAAATCTGTGAGGGCTGTTTTCAGATTAAAAACGTGCTTAAGTTCATAAAAGGGGAACCCTTTCACCACCCTTGCACACCTTGTCCTCCACACACACACACACACACACACAGACACACAGAGGCAGATTCTGCTTCTGGGGGACACTGAGCTGAAAGATTTAAAGGTCTCACCTGTTTGCAAGGTAACAGGAGCCCATCCCTTCCATGGCTCTGCCAAGCACAGTCAGAGAGGTGGAGAGCAGCCTGCCAGGACAAACTGCACAGCCTCAAGTTGCATCTCAGTCGTTTGACTAGTTTTAATTTTACAGTTCTGTAGCATCAGGTTGAAAATCTAGAAAGCCCTACACAGTCAGCAACCACGGCAATATTTGCTTGCTCTCTGAGTGTGCATACCACATTTCTCTCTCAAGGGAAATAAATCTAGGAACCCTTGAAAAGTGATATTTTTAACACTTGGCCAAAATTAATGTCTTTTGAAGGGCAATGCTGCCACACACCTATCCTGTGTTTACTTGGAAGAAGAGAGGATGTGTGTGCCCAAAAACTCAAATAAAGTAGAAAGCAAATTGTATTGCTTGACCTTTAACTTGGGAGGCACCCTTCCTTTATTCTGGACTGCAAAATGGAAGCCCAAAACAACACAAGCTGTAGCCAGGATGGCGTGGGATGGCTGAGAGGACTGGGGAAGGCCCATCTCCCGTGCCTGGTTTGCACCAGAGCGTTGTGCTCCCCAGACTGGTGCAAGAAGGAGTGGGTACAGGAGGGGGTCTAATGCTAGCTGTACCCTAAATGTGCTGCAGTGGCATGCTCACCCTGGCAGGGAGCTCCTCCTGCCATGAAAGGGATTATACTCCTTATTATCCCCATTTATGGCACATTTGTGGGCCATTTAGGCTGTTTGGATCTGTGGTAGTGTTTCTTTAGCTAATTCAAGCCAAAGGCTTTGCTCTATCCCTCTGTTTAGCAGTTGTTACCTGGTTCCAAGCACTCTTTTGAGTCGTGTCCTGAAAGCCAAGCACAGACCTGGATGCCTGAGGAAAGACCTGCGGCAGGGCACGACAAGGACACATTCCAGCCCTTTCTATGTGTTTCTGAACAACCAGCTGAGGCTTTGTCAGACCCTGCTGTCATGTCTCTAAAACATCTGGCAGAGGCAGAAATTAGTTCTTTCCAGTGTGACAGCCACTCCTTCAGGCTCTTCTAGAGTACTGGTGCCAGCACATTTAGTGTTGCCTCTCACTGGGGTCTGGCATGCCTTTGCCTCCAAGGGGCCACTGGCCACTCGGAGCAAGATACCGAGCACTGGATTGTCCTGCACTGTTCCATTCCTGGAATTCGCTGATCTCCAGGCCCAGATTTATTCAGGGAGAAGTGAGGCAGATGGCTGCCAAATGAAGGTAATAGCAGTTCCCAGAAAAGGTGTAAAAACTTGCTGTGCCACCCCCAGAGTTCATCCATCTTTTGTTTATATTTAGAAGCTCACAAAGTCACATTTTGTGTGCTGCATCTCTCTGACAGGTAGCCGCAGGAGTCATTTTGCCAAAGATACAGATAGAGCTATAGATATACAGATATAGATGAGAGCCAATATATATAAATATTTCTTTGTGTAAGTGCTTTTTTGCATGGGACTAGATATCCAGGCTGACTTTGCAGCTCAGTAGGCCTCTTGAGCATGGTACTGTGCAGTCCCTGACCACTCTGCTGGTTTGCAGGCTTGGAGTATCTTGTGGCAGGACACGAGGACGTCCGAACAGGCAGACTCATTGTCAACATGAAAAGTTTTGTGCATCAGTGGAAGTCGGCTCTTGGAAGAAAGGTCTTGGAGATTTTGAAAAGAGACTGCAACTAGAGGTGTGCAACTGCCTAGGGCATTTCTTTATGCACAAAATGCAACAGCCTCCACAAAGAGAAGACCTCTAGCATGAAAACTGGAATGTAAGAAAATAGTGCCAAAACATGTAGTGAGGCATTCAGAGTTGTAGGCGCTGTCTAATTTAACCCTTTCTGGCCAATGTTCTTTCACTTGCCTATAGCTTCCTTGTCAGGGCCTCACCCTGAGCCCTGCTCATTGTTATGTTGAGGGAAAAAAAAAGGAAGGGTGGTGGATGCTTGTCTCGCTCCAGTGTGCTGTTGGAGCAACTCTCATGAAGCCACTGATCACCCAAGACTAAACTGCCACCCTCAGAGAGCTACTGCTGAGAAGCAAACACTGCCAGTGCCACTAGTGTGCATCCTGAGTGACTTGCAGGGGTTCCCAGGGGATGCTGTGGGGAAGGCAATGGGTAGGTGCTGCCACCCACGTGGCAATGAGAACCACTCCTTAGAAACACCCCCTTTCAGGTTAGGACATGGCACCCATCAAAGAGAATTGGGTGCCACTTGCTTTTAGCCTGTTTGCCCTGCTGAAGGTTTCAAGGGCTAGATTCTCTGCTGATGCTGCTGAGGAGAGAGCTGCTGGAGTGAATTGAACCCCTCTGCCTTGGCACAGGCGTGATGCAGGGCAGAGGCCAGCTCTCCACCCACTGCATGGCTGCAGAGAAGAGCCAGCTGCAGAGGGTGCAGTGTCTCTGAGCTTTTGTCCTTGAAGTGTTAAAAAATGAACCTAGCCCTAGTGTAAATATTTCATTGTATAAAGCACTTTACTACCTGCCACTTCACGGTGTGGGGAGTCTAATTGTGTTGGGGAAAGAAGAATTCGAAGGTGGCACATGAGAAAAAACTCCCAGAAACAGAAGCACTCCTGAGGACCCCCACAGCTGGACAGCATTAACAGTATAAAGGGAATGGCCAGCCTGCACTGGCCACTCAGAATATCTGAGAATGCAATCTGAAAGATAAAGTATTTGCACTGAAGTCCCAGCTTCAGACCAGCACTTGGACCCCGTGGGCAGGACTCCAGCAAGACTTTGCAAACAGAGTGGGGAGAAGAGACTTTGAGATAAAAATGCAATTGCAGGAGGAGAAAAACTCTGACTGCAGCAAAAGGAGTGGATGTAGAGAACAGAAAAGACTTGCATTTACATATCACAACCCAGCAATTCATGGTGGGCCTGGAGTTTATTTTATTTTTATGTTAGTATTTAAAACTGAACATTTTATTTTTTTCTTCTGTTTGTTATTGTTTGCAATATATACAGCCATTATACTCCCTCATTAACACCAGTATGAAATATAGCACAGTTTACTGCAGTTTTCAGCACTAAAATATATCCTTTCTGTAAAGCATCCTTAAACCACATTGCATAGAGTGTATTTTGTTCACGAGTGTGAGGGGAAAGAAGACATACAGCACCAGAAAAGTCACTAGTCTACCAATCCACTTTACGTATGTATTTTTCTTTCAAGGTCCTGTGGACTCACAAAAAAAAAGATGCTATTTTGGTAATTTGTTTTTGTATCTCATGTATGTAATAAATATAATATGATTTCAACATCTTCTTCTCCTGTTATTGTTTATGCCAATGGCAGCATGGTCTGCATGCCTGCATGAAAGAGGCCAAGCAAAGATTGCACTGGGTGAGGAGAAGCTGCCATAGGGGATATTTTCCTCTCTGGTTGGGGGGTAAAATGCAACACATGGTAGAAAGCAAAGCAGCATGGATGGCTCACAAAAATCTCATTTCACCTCTTGTTTTTGGGAGGTTTATAAGCTCTTCTCATAAGAAGGGGAATTGTACCTAAATATTTTCAAAGCCAGCCAGATCCTTGCCTCCACACAGTCTTGAAGGCTGAGCTGCAGAGCAAGTACTTATAAGAAATAAGTCAGGGATGGTAAAAATAAGGTTTGTTCCCTACATTTGAAACTACTAAGGGGAAACAAAAGGCTGTGGGAAACAAGTGCTGTGGCAAAAGGTCTACAAAAACACTGCAGAGTGAAGTCAAGCATCAGAAATTAGTGGCCAGGGGGTCAAGCCATAATCTGCAGTGTGGGCAGCAGCTCCCCCGTGGGTGGTTAATCAGTGACTGCAGCAGCACCCATCTCCCTGCTGGAGGAGAGTACAGGGACAGGCTCCCCTGTACAGGCACTCAGAGACCAAGAGCCTCCAATAGCTCTGTTTTGATTTAAAACTGTGAGTTTACCTGCTTCACACATTTTTAGCTTCATTTTATTTTAATGCCACAGAAAATATATTTGCAGTGACCAGTTGATTCAAATATATTGGATGTGGCCTTGTGAAAGCTGGAGGTGTGATCCCACTGTCCCAGCCAGCTCAAGCACTGTAGGAAACCAGGATGGCTTTGTTGGCAGTGCTGCTTACAGCATCTTGTCTGACTCCTCTCCTAGCCTTGGACACTGATGGTTTTACAGAGGAAAGGGGTGAACTTCTGAGGGGTAAATATGCCCTTGAGAAATTTCTGTCAGGGGATTTTGGCTGGAAGAAGTGTCCCATTACGAGGAGCAGATGAGCTGGATATCAAAGAATCACAGAATCAGTTGGGTTGGAAAAGACCTCTGATATCATTGAATTCAAGCTTTGACCAACCACCACCTGATCAGCTAGACCATGGCACTAAGTGCCATGTCCAGATGTTTTTTTAACACCTCCAGGAATGGTGACTCCACCAGCTCTCTGAGCTGCCCATTACAGTGTTTAACATCCTTCCTGTGAAGGAATTCTTCCTGGTATCCAACCTGAACCTCCCTGGCACAGCTTGAGAATATGTCCTCTTGTCTTGTCTCCTTGCAGGTGGTTGTAGAGAGAGAGAAGGTCTCCCCTGAGCATCCTTCTCTCTAGGCTGAACAATCTGAGCTCCCTCAGCCATTCCTTACAGGACTTACCCTCTAGGCCTTTTCGATCCCTCTTTTCATATGAGATCACAAAATGGCCAACCAGGCCCTCCTTAGCAAGAAAAGCTTCTTTGGACACTGTCCTTGCAGCTCAGTGAGTTAATGGAAGCCGCCTGCCTGGTTTATCTGTTTACTGCCCTCTGTCATATGTGTGAGAAGAGGATGTCTGTCTCTGCCCACCTGAAGAGATCTGTTCCTTGATGATTCCAGGAATAGCAATGCCTTGACCAGTCCTTCTGTGGGACAAAAATCAGTGGCAGGAAAACCAGCCCAGTCATAATCAAAGTTGGCAACAGCACCCACAGAAGGGTCTTTTCTTCCAGAACTACCCCACTGATGCAGGCAAAGCTGGCAGCTGAGGCCAGGCTGCCCTTTCTGGATTGTGCTGCTTCTGTCAAGAGGTGAGTGCTGGATTTTCAGGAACCAGAGATGGGAATTGCCACAGTTCTCCCTAGAGCATCCTCATGCTGTCCTTATGCCTCACCTGCACCTAAAGAACAAGGACCTTCCTGCTGCTGAAGGAAGCATGGTGGAGTCTCCTTTTTCCAAGGCTGGAGGCCAGATGTAAGCAGTGGCCAGGGATCAGTGGTGGGGGCTGGGGCTGCCTGCCAGAGCCCTGTGCTCCTGGTTGTCTGTCAGCACTGCAGGAGTGAGTGGTGTTGGTACCCTGGGCTTGGCTGGAGGAGGTAAGGCAAGGTAAGGTGTGCTGGAACCAGCTGCCACCACAGCACTGAGCCTGGCTGTCCACTGCTATACAGCCCCTCCAGCACAGCAACACCCGACCCAAACCTGTCCTCCTTCAAGGCACTCACAGGACACCTTTTCCACTCTTTCTGGAGGACATGAGCACTCCACTCTCTGGCACATGAGCTCTCAGCAGGTGCTTTGGCACAGAGAAGGAAACACCTAGCTCCAGCAAGTTTTCAATGCTTCCTTGCACTCTCTGAGGCAAATCCTGTGCCAAAAGAATTATCAGGAATGGGCACTAAGCCACTGTGTCTTTCTCCACCGTCCTCTGCCACCACTGCTACCTGTGGAAGAAAGCAGAATTAGCCACACAGATCTGCCCATTAGTTTTCCCTAACCTGAAGCTGGATTCTTGGAGGAGGCTGTACTCAGAGACATCCCACAGCCTTCCTGAGAGGTGGCCTTACACCAGTACCTGGAAGCAGTACCTGGTGAGTCTCCCCAGCTGTGCAGGGCCTTTGTGATGGGCACCTCTGCCCATTCATCAGGAAGCAGGAGGTGATTAGTGAAGCATCTTCTTTCATTCAGTTAAAGACCATTGTTCTCTTTGGATCACCTCAACAAACACTAACTATGCCCACAGGCTCTGAGTGCAAGCAGGGCCAGCAGAGCAGCCACCTGCAGGCCCAGCCACATGCATCCCTGCAGCAGCAGCTGGCCATGGGTCCCAGCAGCATGGCCCCCTCCCCTAGGAAGTGCTACTGACAGGAGCCTCCTCATGCCAGACCAAGCCCTGTTGGGCTACAGAAGTGCTCTGCCCCCCTGCCATGGTGAGAGGCTGGAGAGGACTCAGGGTTGTGCTGCCTGCATGTGCACAGGGCCACCCAGTCAGTGACTGCTCGCCCCTGAGGAATGCAATCTCCCAGTTACAGTGGAAAATTACAGGCATGTTTTATATAGTTGCTCCAGCAGGCCAAATCTTCTGGGATGTGACCATGTTGCTGAAAATGACTGAACATCTGGGACTACAGGCCTGCCTAAATGGAAATCTGGGCTGGTATGGGTAAACATAACAATTCAGGAACAAATAGCTGCAGTGTACTTTTTTTTAATCTTTATTTTTAGTTATTGTATTGACTTCAATATCAACACAGGATAGAATAAACATCTCAAAAATATCTGTTGGCTGCTGCCTCAGCATCCACAGGAGCTCTCTCTCTGATAAGGCTGGAGGGGATCAGCTGCCTGTGGGCCTTCTGGGCTGATGTGTTGATTTTTTGATGATGGTGTTTCCAAAGCATGCTCTTACCCAGGGGTCACAGTTTCTTGCTGCTCTTTTCCCACAGTTCAGCACAGAAACTTCATGAATGCCTTGTATTGCTTCAAGGGAAGGCAGTGATGCCTCAGCAAGCCTCAAAGGCTGGGAAATACACTATATATGGGAAACTTGTAGGCATATTGAAAATGTTAGCATGGCCAAAAGGCCAAAGTGCTGCAGCAGGCATTGGGAGAGCCACTCTCTGTGTCTAGCTCATCTCCTCACTTCTCCACCACTCTTAGGGGTCCTTTGAGCAAAAATAATGCTGGGTTGCTTGAGCATGTGATGTATCACTGGTGTGATGCACTCATGGGTACACTTAAGCCTAGCCAAGTCCAGAAAAATGTCATCATGCCCAAGCTTTGTTGCAATGCCATATGCAGTTCTAGGTGTCTCCAAGTACTACCTGGACACTTTTTCAGCTGTAGAAGACATGTAAAAGAAGTTTGCCAGGCCACCAAAGGTCATGGGAGATTGTGGGCCTGGATGAAGGTGTGCATATGTGCATCCCCATGCTCACTTCTTCATTTCCCACATGGTGTTTACTCTGCTCATGTCTCTGAGCTCCCCCTGACCAGGCAGGTTGCTCATACTGACTGCATTTCTTTCTTTGACCTCTTGTCTCAGATTTATACATGGAAATTAAATACAGTTATTTAGCACAGGACATGGCTTTTAAGCCATCTGGAAATGAGGGCTGGCGAAAGACCCTCAGATCTGTATGAAAATTGCTGAGAAGAGTAAAGTTGCTTCCTAAAGCAAACATTAGTGAAATTTCCCCAAACTGACTTGCTGAGGACATGGATATGCACCCCTTCTAGCAGGTGTAAAATGCAGCCCAGCTCCAGGCTCAGGACACATGCCTGAGGTACACAAACAGGTGAAAAAATATCAAAACCAAACAACCACTCATTCAGCTGCCATCAGCCTGGAGGAAAGGGCATTCCTCACTGCAGTTCCTATGGCAGATTCACACATGATCTCTGCCTGGATCAGTAGGAGATATTTCTCAATTATTACCTTAAGATTTATACATTTAAAAATATGTTTGCTCTCTGTCTCTGCTATTTATCAGAGCTTTCCTTGATTTGCATCAGGTGCAACTCACATCTGGACCTCAAGCACTTGTGAAGCCTCTGTGTGGTCAAATCTGCTGCATAATCTCTGCTTGGGCTTTATCTGAGTAACACCTGTTACTCAGAGATCAGAAAACATTATTTCAGATACACAACCAAGGAGAGATTCACCTCACCTGGTGAATCTGAGGTGCTGGTGGCAGATGGTGGTCAGGACAGGATCCCCCAATCCCCCCAGGGTTGCAGAAGAGACCCAGGAGCACCCTGAGTGGTCATTAGAGCTGCCCATCTGCCCCACAGGGGCAGGTGAAGGGGCAGGAAGATGCACAGGTACTTGTGCCACTTGAGGAGCATCAGCAAGATGCTCTTGGCATGGAAGCAGAGGATTAAACTAATGCTTAAGGGAAGATAAACAGAACAGAGGTGCAAGCAGGGACACTGTCACCTCTGCAGCTGTGGGCACATACAGTGACAAGGGACCCCAGCCACAGGAGACAAGGAAGCCTCAGCATTTGCCCCTTGCTGGGCATGGCTGCCTGGACCTGATCAGTCTCTTACATT